TCTCTCTCTCTCTCTCTCTCTCTCTCTCTCTCTCTCTCTCTCTCTCTCTCTCACACACACACACACACACACACACACACACACACACACACAAAGCTAGACAAGTTTCCATCCCGTATAAATTCAGATGATGAATTTACACAAAGCCCTCCAGGAGATTTGCAATGGAAATGGCCACTGGCTCCCAACTACAGAGCCCAATGTGCAGCGTTATTACAGTGTCTGATTTGGAATTCAAATTCTCCCCAAGACAACGGCCCTTTATTACATTTCTGACACTCATTACCTCGCCTTCTGGCTGGCCACGTCCCGTGGACCACGTATTCAATTCTAACTCCTCACCAAAAGACACCGAGACAACTGGCCAAAGGGAACCACCCACCCAAAGACCCGGAACTGACACCCACACACCTCCAGCCCCAGGACCCTGCTCTCTGCCATCTGCTGACCTTTGTGGCCACACCAGTCTCCTTCTGAACCGAAGGGGCCGTCTCTGTAGCTGTCCCAGGTACCTGTTGACCAGCCTCTCTCCCCCCACCCCCTCCAGCACAAATCCTCACTGCTGTCGGTGACACATGCTTCCTGGTTCATCTGGGTGGCCCAGCCTCATTAGGAAGGGATTTGGTGTCTGTTAGTTAATTGAGGCCCGTTCCTGCCACCTGCCACTCGCGGGCCTCATCTGCACACTAACTGCTCCTAATTGTCATCATACGGTGGGTCCCCGCAACAACTGGAGAACAGGTCCTCCGAAGTTCGTGCGGCCCCCGTGATATTGTGGGAATCAGGGTTCTGGAAACATCGAATGTGGTGGCAGTTAATCAGAGGCCAGAAGTTTGGAGAAGAAAGGCACCTTGGGCTAACATCTGTCTTGCTTTGTGAATTCAGGACACAAAGCCTTCCTCAGATCCAGATAGAGACTTAGCCCAGACTGCACAGCGTGTAGATATGGTGTGCATATTTGTGCAAAATTGCAGCCCGTGTGTGTGTGTGTGTGTGTGTGTGTGTGTGTGTGTGTGTGTGTGTGTTTAACCAAGAAAGGCTGGGATGTCAAGGCAGTGTCCCCCAGCCTGGAGTAGAAAAGGATAGAGAGGGATGCAGAGGAGAAAACTCCGGGGAAAGAAAGTCAAACATGCAGTAAACGAAAGGATGGGGCAGGAAGAAGGACCACGGCACTGAAGAGTTGGGGAGCTTTTGATGTAGAGACATGATTGATGCCTATCTGGTGAGGAATGGATGTCCACTCTGAGACCCAGGGTCAGGACTCTCTGCCTACAGAGAGGGAGAAAAAGGCGCTGTGGCAAAAGGAGAAAGATGCTATGATGTGGGAAGCGGAAGGATTCAGAGGCTCAGGAACCATGTCTGGACCCGTCTGGACCTCCCAGAAACCAGGCTCTGGCAAGTAGTGTGAGTTGTTTTGCTTCAGGTTTTCATTTTATTTTATTTTTCCATTCTAAGCTCACTTCCCTGGGACTCTGAGACCAACACTCCTGAGACACTCCACAACCAGGGAACTGTGTGGTCTCTCCACCCAGAATTGGGAAGTGGAATTTGCTTAGAGATTTCTGATTTACTATTCACTCCACACGGGATGAGAGAAAGGAAATTAAATGGTGGGGGGAGTGATTTAGGAAGAGGAAAGAGAAAGAAGAAAGAAAGGAAGCCAAGAGGAAGAAGGGAAGGAGGAAGGAGGGAGAGGTTGGAGGGGACAGGGACAACTGGGAAGCCCTGACATGCGACACGTCATGCGCATTCAGAGGCTCCTGCTGTTACTAACCAGACCCATGTCATCAGCTCCAGAAATGGGCCTGCCCCACCAGCTCACCGCGAACAGACCAGAGGGGAAGACAACTGCACACAGCAGAACAAAGTCCCCCTCGGCCGTGCCCTGTGCCTCCCACTCGGACACACATGCTCTTAGGATTTCCTCCACGGTGCAATGGCAGGTTTTTAAACACTTGACACGCCCGGTTTTCTCTGAGGACGTCTCCCCAGCTCCGGGGCTCCTGTGTACCCTCGGTGACCACGCAGCTAAGCGTTCGCGTGCCCTGAGCATCCTCATGCTGCACCTGTGTCTCGGGAAGCCAACCCCAGAGCCCCCCCATTCTCACATCTTGCCCAGAGGCTCCCAGCTCTCTCAGTCCCCCTCCTCCACGTCTGTCCTTCTCTGGATGTCACTCACCACTTTGCCCGCTTGCTTCCTCCAGCCTGGGAACCCGAGGGGCCTGGTCTAGGCTGATTCCAAGAGCTGGCAGATTTCAGAGGAAAAAAAAAAAAACAGGGAAAAAGAATGGCAGTTTGACACCGTACTGTCACAGTTAAAGTGGGCCCGGCGTGTGACCCGGGCTTGGACACTGATGCCTCGTGCCCAATCACAGCTGAGGTTGCATCTGCCACGGTTCACGGCCGCTGCTCCATGCTGGGGGACCAGATGCCTCTGTTGATGCTGTTCTCCTCCCAGCCTTCTGCCGGACACGCGGCCGCAAGACACAGCCCGGCCACCCGTCACTGGACATCATCTGCCTCTTCTCTACACCCCTCCCTCCATCCCTGTCTGTCCCCACACCTCCCCACAAGCAAAGGAGATCGTTCTTAAAGTTTGACCCGAAGGAGCCAAGTAGAATAAAAGGCTAACCAGGGAGAACTTGATTCCTGCCACATGCAAAACAACACAGGGTATCGGAAGACGGGGGCCAGAAGGCCAGCAGCACAGCCTGCTCCGTGTCCCCAGCAGACTCCCGTTGAAATGTCACTGTGGTCGTTAAGAATATTGACATTGGAGAACAAGTTTAAGGATTATACACTTAACCTCCTCAGTGAGTTGACCTGCTTTGGGGAAGTTTGGAGGCTGGGAGGTAGAGCGACCGAGCTAGCAGCTCCCTGTCATCGATGGGGCCTTGAAATGGATTTGGGTTTTTGTACTTTAAGTAAATCTTCCTGAAACAGCATCTTTTCTCTCACTAGACCCAAGACATCTGCCGTACAGTGATGTCTGTGCGTCCCTGCAGGACAGGCAAGTGAAGCTCAGAGGGAAAGGTAGGTGTGCCTGTTCCTGTTTGTTCAGGGCCCAACGGCTGCCCTGTGCACTGCCCAGAGCTCAGAAGAACTCACTGAGTGACGGCCCCGCCCACCACTCATTGACTCCACCCACCATTCTGTGACTCCGCCCACCATCCTGTGACTCCCAAGCACCATACATTTGACCAGAGGGAACAGGTGGTTTCCACTGAAATGCTCTCTCTGGGTGCCCAGGGGACAGCTGTCTCTCACATGCCACAGGTTGTCCTTGCTGGGGGCTAGTGTTGCCATGACCCTTTGTCTTGGTCCTGGAGATCCTCTTCCTCCCCTCTTCACTTCCCCATCTCTCTCCTCACCCACACCCTGTTGCTGAACACATCTCTGTCCAAACTTGAACTTCAGAGTGCAGATTTGCCTAGATATTATATTCCAACACTTCTCTCATTCAAGAACACAATCTCAGCGGAGCCTGAAACTGCAGATAGACCCAAAGCCTAGAAGATGCTTTTTTCCTATGCATGAAATATGTGATAAAGTTTAGTCGATAAATTAGACACCATGAAAGTTAACAGTAACCAATAGTAAACTCTAACCATTGTAACTATACAGCACAATAAAAGTTATTCCAAACTTAGGAATTGCTTCTTGCTGGAATTTTCCGTTTTGCGTTCTTGGACCGCAGCTGGCCGTGGGTCAGAGGTCAGCAGTGGGTTCTCTAAGATCTGGATCTCACCACAGGTGAGGCTGACTTCAGGACTGGCCCAGAGCTGTACCAAGCATGCTGGGAGAGTTGTTAGGGATGAGCAGGCAAGTGGATGAGATGAGCACAGGATACCAGGGAACAGGGAAGCCTCCATCAGTCACCACAGTACCTTGTGCTCAGTGGCACCGCACAAAACCAGTTCAACGTTAATTAGCGTACTAACAATAAACCTTTTCAGACGGGGTTGCAGAGGAGGAAGTACGAGGCTGGGGCTGGTGTCGAGCAGTTTTCCTGAAGGTGTTGTATTTGAGCCAGAGAAGCTTCAGAGAAACGCCAGAGGTGAAATGGGAGAGAGGAACATTTGTAAAGAGGAAAACTGTTATTCTCTCCACCACTGAGCACACACTACAAGCCACACATGGCACTAGGTAACAGAGACACAAAACTGAAGAAGACTTCATTCCCTTCCCCTAGTGTGATGACATTTTCATTGAGAAAATTCCACTAGAAGCCTCATGGTGATTTAACAAATGAGGTTTCAAAAAACAACGCATTTATAATCTGGCAGCTACCTAAATATAAATGTCAAATACAGACATACAACTTGTTATATTTAGTCCTTCAGGATTCCCTAGGACCAACAGGTATGAGGCAAGATTCAGGGAGACTATTGTATCAGTACTCTAAGTCTAGAAATAATTTTCATCATTCCTCGGGCACATAAAAAGCACCCACTAAGTGCTCTGGGTGAATTTATAGAAAGCATTTGGGTTAGCAGATTTGAGTTCATACAATATGATATGATCTGGTATATATGATAATACAACATGATATAATCAATGACACAATGCTATACATACTTTATATGATATTTTCTGAACAAGAGCAGGTCAATAGTAATAATTTTAAATGTCCATCACTCAGAAGTCCTATCATGTGCTTTCTCTTCTGGAAATGACTTAACATCTGAGTCAAAGCTCCACACAGGATGACTCCAAAGTAGGAACACACGTAGACTAATTAATTCCATGTCAACACCAGGAAGCCTTGGGTCTTTCCAGACACTGTCCCCTGGGCTGCACTGGAGCTTTGCTGCTGCTGCTGCTGCTGCTGCTGCTGCTGCTGCTGCTGCTGCTGCTTTAATAATCTTGTTCTTTCTGGGATTTCTCTGCTCAGGACATTCCCCCATGTATGTCTCCAAAGACAAGGCAAACAACAACCCAAGAATTTCAGTCATTCTCTTGCTCCCAACTCCCTCCTTCTCGGTGTCTCTCTCTCATTAAAGCAGAGATGTTCATATGACACACCCGCCCATGGTTCAGCACCAAGGACACCTCCCAAGCTTTGGGACCCTACTACCCTCATTCCATCCTGTTAAAGTCAAACTGGAGCTGATGAGGCTGACTCAGCTGGTAAAGGGTGCTTGCTACTAAGCCTGACAGGCCGAGTTCAATCCCAGGCACCCAGATGGTGGGAGAAGAGAACTGGTTCCTGCAAGTTGTCCTCTGACCTCACATACATGTACATACATGAAGAGATAAAATATGAAGCCTTCGTCTAAAGACCACCAAGAAACTACCCCAAAGATAAGCCGTAAAAGACTAGCTGAAATGTTTTCATTTATAATACAAATACAAATAAAAGTTGGGTCCTCTGGGAATGCTGACCACAGATACTCCTCATTTTGCAGATGGTCACACCAAGCTCTGTCAGGGCAGGTGGGGGGGACCTGCCTGGAGGTCATGGGTCAGGAACTCTGTCCTACCAACTGCACCCTCTTCCAAGTTGTGCTCGAACACCAGGAAACAGATTTATAGCTAGACTTGCTCTGTCTTTCCGCTAAGACGTTTTCCCCAGTCGATAAATGTCTTAATCAGCAGCAAGCTTTCGAAAGAGCATCTCTTTGGGGATTTATTATACATTATCAGCTTTCAGAACATTCTCCCTTTCTTCTTACTCACACCTCAGGCTAAACAAGATCTGTGTCCTCCATCCTTGTCAGGTCTCTGGTGCTAGGGCCTCCTTGTGTATATCATGTTCATTTCCACATCAATGTGCAATAATGGGTGATAGTGACCTCACTTTTCATAGATGATGAAGTGAAAACGTGAACAGCCAAGTTCTTACCCAAAGACACAGGGCTAATAGGCAGCAAGCAGAAGAACTTTCTCTTGCTCTGATTCTGTGTGTGTCCCTCGCCTCCTAGAAACCATTGGCTCTGTAGAGCTCAGCCCTAAAAGAAAAGGCTCTGTATAAAAAGAGTGGGAAAACAATAATTTTCTAATGTCCACTGTTTATTCATGTTATAGTATGAATACCAAATGTTCCCCATTTGGGTCTCAGCTGGTGGTGGTGTTTGGGAGGATTCTGGAACCTTCAGAAAGTGGCATGTATCTGATGGGAAGGGGCTAACAGGTCATAGCCTGGTCCCAGTCCTGGCTCTGCTCTCTGCTTCTTGGATGCCAATGCAATGTAACCAGCTGCCCTCCATTATGGCCGCCACAGCTGGAAACCCTGCCACCATGCCTCCCTCACCATGGTAGAATGTATTCCCTCGGAGCATGAGAATAACACCCCCCTCATGATGTTTCTGCAAAATATCTGGTGATGATGATGGGAGAACTAACTATATATTAATTTATTTTCAAAGATAACTAGTTTTTAGGCCTTTTAAATGATTCAGCTAGAGAGCACATATAGTTCTTACAGAGGACCTGAGGACCAGAGTCAATTCCCAACACCTATGTTAAGTAATACACAGCCTGCCTGTATCTCCAGATCCAGGGAACCTGGCACCTCCTGGCTTCTGTGGGCAACTGCATTCATGTGCACATTCCCACACACAGATACACATTCTTGCATACGATAAAAAAATGAAATAAATCTTGAAGAATACTCAGTGAGTCCGTTGTTATGAAAGGGGCTTAAGTTATGAAAGGTGAGATCAGGAGCAGACTTACACACGAGACAGGAGAGACAGGGAGGGCTAAATTGTTCTGCATTTTGGAAAACATGGTGCTTTCAGATTCATCTGGGTTGGCGTGGAAGATGAGAGTCTTGTTGGGAGGAATGACCCGAGACTAGCAGAGATGGATGGGATCCTCACAAGACAAAAGCCCCATGAATCAGGAAGGATGGACCGCAGAGAATGTACAGTGTGGACATTCCTATGCCCATGAACTCTTCCAGAATATCATGACTCTCCATCAGGAGGTAGGAAATAGAGACAGACAGTTGGAAGTTGGGCATCTGATTGCCTCAGTGGGTGAAATACAGAATGTGTAATGGAAGTCATACCCATAATATCTCAGGCCAAGTAGTGAGATGCTGATAACAGCCTTTGCCTAATTCACTCTCAGGGCCCAGGCCATGTGGAGCTGTCCAGCTGAGAGGCCCTGCTAAGATCTCAACCCATAAGAGGCACCCACTGCAAGCCTGTGAGTGAGGTTTTCAGATGATGACAACCCACACTCTTCAGTCTTCTGTGGCCAACACTGAGTGTATACAAAGAGCTTCAGTGACAGTGATGATGGGAGCCTAGTTATTTTCTTAACTTATCTTGCATTTGCAAGCTTTCAATTGAAAAGAAGAAAAAAAAACACCTCTACATAGTAAAAATTCACTAGCAACATTGTGATGGCTCATATCAGCCATCAATTTGACAGGGTCTAAAATGATCAATGAGATGAGCCTATGGGAATACCTTTGAGGATTTATCTCCATTGAGTTCATTGAGGGAGGAAGCCTGCCCACGGTGGGTGGCACCATTCCCTGGCCGGGCTCCTGCGCCATATAAGTGAAGAAAGGGGGCTGAGTGGGCAGTGTGTGTGCATGCATCCCTCTCCGCTTCCTGACCGTGGGTGTGATATCACCAGCTGCTCCAACCTCCTGAGGTTAATTAATCCTCCCTGATGGACGCTGCTCTCCAACTCTAAGGCGGAATAAATTCTTTCTCTCTTAAGTTTCTTTTGTTGGGCTATTTTATCATAGAGACAGAAAAATAAACTAAGACAAACAGGTCGACGGTGTCTGATGAATGGAAGCAGCACCTTGGCCATGGGCAGTGGTGGGAAGGAGGAGCAGGAAGGGGTGATAACACAAGGAATCATAAAGATGTGACAGGCCAAAAAGCCAGGGCAAGACGGTCATGAAAGACATCAATATCAAAAGAGAGTTGCTTGAGTCAATCCCTAAATAAGGAAATAAAGCGGCAGGGGTTGGGGGCAGAGTTTCGATGGAAGAATCTAGTGCACCTGTTCATGTTCCTGGCGATAAGAGCATCTGCTGCGGCCCTACACAGTCTTACACAACAGCACTTCTTCAGAGACACCTGCCCAGCAACTCCCTCCAGCCTAGGACTGAGACATCTGTCAATAACCCGCTGCCGGTGATGTTATTGACCCCTGACCTCCCACTGAGAGCCG